TCTAGCAATCATCATCATCATCATCATCATCATCATCATAAGAGTATCTCCAAAAACCACTCTCAATATTTACAGAGTATTTTATAGCTTATAAGACACTTCCCTTACATTTTCTTTCTCCAACCCTTCATAGTTGTCATTGCAAGTAAAGAGAACACAAATCATGTTATTAATATAGGATGGATCTAAGATTAAGAGTCTGATTTTCAGATGGCACATCTTAACAATAAATGTGCAATTATTAGTTCAGCAGAGTACTTTTAATAACACCTGCAGGTATGTCCCACCTTCAGAGAAGAAATTTTGGAAATGACTTTTTTTAACTAATGTTATTGAACCTGACCTGAATGAATGTAGACATTCTCTCTTGTGTCTGTTCCCCTTTCCCTGCTTAGTGACTTTGGAAAGGGTTCTCAGACATTGGCTTCCAGGTACCCCAACTCTTCTAGCAGATGGAAAGGCAAGTAGGTAACCCAGGTTGTGGGGCCAGGAATAATTGCTTTTTAATCAGGATTTTAATATTGCAAGGCCAGAGTATAGCAGATTATGAGAATTTTTTGGAGCAGCTTTCGATTTACAACAAAATTGAGAGGAAGGTACAGAGATTTCCCATGCACTCCCTGCCCTCACACATGCATAGCCTCTCTTATTATCAACATCACTCACCAGAATGGTACATTTATTACAAAGGATGAGCCTACATTGACACATCATAATCACCCAAAGCCCATAATTTTCAAATTTACAATAGAGTTCACTCTTGATGTTGTACACTCTATGGGTTTGGACAAATGTATAATGACATATATTCATCATTATAATGTCATGCAGAACATTTTACTGCCCTAAAAATTATTGTGCTCTGCCTATTCATCTCTCTCTGCCACCAATCCCTGGTAACCATTGATGTGTGTGTGTGTGTGTGTGTGTGTGTGTGTGTGTGTGTGTGTCCATAGTTTTGCTTTTGCCAGAATGTCATATAGTCAGAATCAAACAGTATGTAGACTTTTAAGATTAGCTTCTTTCACTTAGTAATATCTATTTGAGGTTCCTCTGTGTCTTTTCATGGTTTGATAGAGTTTTTCTTTCTAGCACTGAATAATATTCTGTTGTCTGGATGTACCACAGTTTATTTATTCATTAACCTACTGACCCTAGTTGCTCAGGTCATGGAATTTGATGAGAAAAAAAAATTCTAAGGATGAACAATCTGCTCATTAATTTTTCTAACATAGCAACATTATTAGAATTCCACATAAATATGCCTCAACAGTTTCAGAGCTGAAGAAGAAATGGATGGGGCATGGTTTTTACAAATTATTTGTGTCATTGGATAGTATGAGAAATGGGAATATGCCTGTTTCTTATTTAAACAGCAATTCACCAGGTGACAAAACATTCCAGATACAGGAAAGGCTTATCTGTAGGTGCCATGTTGAGGGCTTAGTCATTGCAGACACAAAAGGAAATGGGAAATGGAAGAGGATGATTTATGTAACACTGAAAGGGATGCCCCTCAATCATTATTATCAGTTAACTATTGTTATTTTTTCCATCTGTTGGAGTCAAAAAATAACTCTTCCCACTCTTTAAGTTCTTCTGGCTGGGCTAATAATCATATCAACATGATACAGATTAACAAGAGAAAATATCCAAAATTTATTGGGGATATACTTATAGGGGTTCTGTAAGATATGAGACTGGAAGACACATTGGGCAGTTGAGGTTTATACACCATTCAGGACAAAGGAGAGGGAGGCAAGGGTATGGGATTTCAAAGGCAAAGCAGGCAATTCACAGGTAGATGAGAAAAAGCAAACATGTAGACAACAAATTTTTGCTGATACACCCAGAAACAATGTGACACAGGGGGATCCAGCAAATAGTTTTGTTAGATTTGGCCCCATTTGCCACATTTAGTTTACATTTTGGTGATGTTCCCTTTCTTTAAAGTAGGTTTTTCTACTTGAATTCCTCTAGGCAGGTAACAGGAGGTGGGTCAAATGTTCTTTCTGAGTCTTTTGTTTCTTAATAACCAGTTTGAAGTCAATATCCCCAAAGGCAAATTTGAGGGTAGCAAAACTTTGGTCCGTATCACATCATATATCCCGAATTTGGATGTCATCTTCATCCTTGAAGAGCTTTTATCTTAGCTAGATGAACATTGCTGTTTTTGTTGGCTTATTTTCTTAATCATTGAGAATATCTGAAAACTACTAATGTGTGTGTGTGTAGAGGAGATTTAATCTCTTACATCTATGTTTTTAGTCAAGGTAATGTTATTGTCGAAGTAAATTTTTGTGACTTTGACTATTTTGTGGCAGTAGAAGTAAAGGATAATATATTGTGACCAGGTGTAAAACAAATGTAAATTCTACCAACTGAATTTTAAAAATAACCAATGGAGGTTGACCTGAAAGGTTTATTTTTATCAAATTCTAATAGACCTTAATATCTGAAAGCAAAAACTTTGGGAAGAATAATTTGGGAAATGAATGAAACAGAAAGATTTCAGAGTTTGTCCAGTGCCTGGCTACTCACCTTGAATAATTTTAACCCCTGAAAACATCTGGCCATCATTAGCTTTAGGAGACCCTGTAAGAAGTCAGAATATTTTTATGGGAACAAATTAATAGGACCTTAAATCCTTTTTGGATTGTAGAAGAGGACCTGTTTTACCTTACCAGATAACCCATAGAGCTTTGAGAATACCTGTTGTATACATATGTATTTATTTGTTTGTGAAACTAGCCCTTTCCCCTCACAGCCAGAAGGTGTCATTCTCAGGTAGCATGCAAGCAATCAAAATATTTTTAAATCCCAGAAGCCAAAGAAACACTAGCTTTCTAAACATTAAAACACACACACACACACACACACACACACACACACACAAAAATACGCTGGTCCTCAAGGGCAATAAACTAGGCCTCTGTTAGGCCTAGCAGATAAAAAAGATGAGGTTTAAAGGGTGTTCAGCAGGAATAACCTGCAAATAATGTCTATCTCAGAATGTATGGTCACTGAGTTAAGTTTAAGGAGAAAAAGTGAAATACACAAGATAAATATTTTGTGTTCATGCAAAGCAGCCAGAACTTTCTCATGAACATGCTGATTACATACTCAGGTAGGTAGCATATTTGTCCAGAAAACTTATATGTGAGGGTTTTTCTTTCTTAGTCCCCACCCTCATCTCCAGTCTCATAACTCTGTGTCAGCAGCATGCTAGGTACTGATGAGACAATATAAACAGTTCAGAAATTGATGGGTACTCTTTGCTGGACATGTAATTGTTGACATAAAAGCAGGTATTAGGTACCAAAGAGTAGGTTCAAGACCTGTGTTCCACAGAAAGAGAATGAAGTGACATAAACCAAGTTGGAGTTTCAAATCTCTACAGAATTCAGTATTTTGTAATGAATGTGTTCTTTCCCATTTTACGTACCAAGAGAAAAAAACACACATTTGTGGAGTAACTAAGTGGCACCAAACAAAAGTTCGAAGTTGAAAACAACTTGAGAAAATCAAATGATATTATTGGCAAAGAACCTGTTCTTATTTGTTCTAAATACTGTATTGATAGCCATTAAAAATAACTAAATATTAAAAGAATCAAAATAATATAGATGTGTCCAGATATCTGGACACTGACTGTGTTTGGACATTCCAAATTGGTTCGTTCAAGGAACTTACCTGTGTCAGATACTTTAAGTATGTTTGATGATCCTTACTTTGTTTGAATCATGTAAAATATTCATGAGTTTCTGTCAGTTGCCACAAAGTTAAAATTAAACCCCTGCTCTTGGCTTCATGAGACAAAATATTTCTATAAGGATCTTTATTTTCTTGACCTTATTATTTCCAGTGCAATTTATATTAGCATCTTCGTAATTACATTACATCAGGGATCCAGAATAAAACATCATATTTTGTGGTATCTCTCCTTAATAAATGTCTTTGGGCCATATATTCATCCAGGTACATGCAATGTAGGGTTAGAAAGTAGGCTTGCCAAATCCCAGAATCTCCAAATTATGGCATTTTCACTAACACCATTGAGGAATGTGAATTGATCTACTTTTATTGAGCACCTACTAAATTTCAGGAGGTTTATACACAGGGTGGGGTAAAAATAGGTTTACAGTTGTGAGTATGCAAAACATGGAGTTTATTCTTGTATTATTATTTATCATATAATTTTCCATACAAACAACTCTAAACCTACTTTTGCCCCACCTTGTATATAACTTCTAATTGTCACAACCCAGAAAAGTAGACACTATGACTATTTTGTAGAAAACTGAAATTAATTATGTTTAATAAACTTTTCCAAGGTTATGCAGATCAGATTTTTAAATGAGGGTTGACTTCAAAGACCATATTCTTCCAATCACACCACAGCATGCCAACTTACTACCTTGAGAGACTGTACTAATTTGAAATATAAAATGAATCAATGGTGTTCATGGTCCATTTTTAACAAATGCTAAGCCCACTTTTCAACTGAGACTCCTCAGTCCTCTTGGTAGTTGAATTACCAAGCCCAGCATTTCTTGTGCCATCTTGGGAAAGATAGAAAGTTAGCTGATGGAAGAAAAAGAGAATATTCTATCTGTTTACTTGGTGGTGGCTCTTAGAGGAAGAGAAAGGAAGATACTTGTTTTCCTGCTGATTTTTCTGTTTAAAAGAGAACAGGGGTGTGTGGGGAGTGGGAAAGAGGTAAAGGGCAAATAGAGAATATTGATATGGTGGTAATGAGCAATGAAGAGTTGGTTTGGTGGGGGGTATTTCTCCAACTCCCTGGTCATTCCACCTTTCACTGAATGAGAATATTCCATTTGGCTTTCAGGTAGGGTTGTCATGCGAGAAGTGTATGTTAATTTTATATTTTCTCATAACTTTCTTTTGGGGATAAGCATTTTGGTTTTCTGCTGTTTATTATTTCAGAGGCATCTATATGCTAATATGTTTATGCTAATTATTTTCATGTTTCCCCTCAGGTTATGCTTCATATCACCCACCAGGGAGGATCATCGCTCATGAAAACTTTTAAATTTGATTTTGAAAATTATTCAGAAAAATTTAAGCGATGCTCTCTTCCAATGTAAGAAAGAATATGCTCTAGAGATTCTTATAATTCAAAGAAAATGGATCGGTAGAGCATTTGGGTTCTCATGCTGCCAAAATCCTCTTGAGCAGGTACACAAAGCATTTAACATTGTGACATCAAAATGTTGGAAGAATAATTAAAATAATAATCTAATAATGGGTTTTCAGAAATTGCTAAATTTCAATGTTTGATCCAGAGAGAAGAAAGAAAGGGCTATTTTCATTCTCCACAGCTTCTGAGGTGTGTTAATTGCTTCTATTGCTATGAATACTATGTTTTAATTGTATGTCATTGTTCCTTAGCATCACTTCTAGAAAGTTAATGCTAATAATATTGATGTCTGAATCTGATTTTCTGCTTACAGGATAAATGAGGTAAAAGAAGAACTTCATAATAAGCTAGCTTAATGCTTTCTTCCAGCTTTTTTATTACAGGGACATATTTTTTGAGATTGTTATTTGTTTTGAGAGTAGGTTCCAATTAAAAAAAAAATAGAAGTTAGCCAATTACCCTGTCTTAAAACTATTTTTTCCAGGCTCTTCTTTGGAAGATAACCAAGACTAAAAAGCTGATTTTGCACCATGAGATATTAAAACTTAGATCACTTTGGGGGGTATTTTACATTTCTCCCTTTTGTTCCCAAGCATCTCAGGGGTGCAAAGAAAAGGTCCCCATTTCATGATCATCCCTATTGTTTTTTGTCCTGCTTGGTGCTTAAGAAAATCAAGGAATCAGAAGCACTGGGGGATTCATACTCCAGACTTAAGTCCATCATGGGTTTCTGGCCTCCTCCTTACCTCTTCCTCTCTCCACTTTTCAGTAGCTGCACCTAGTCTCATTTCTATTCTTTAAATGCTCCCACTTTTCAAACTCAACAGTGCTTCACTCCGCAAGAAGTGCAGCCCAGATGATACTATTTCCCCTCTCAGCTCATTGTAATGCCCCTTGAGTTCCAAGGCAGCTTTGACAGTAGGAGAGTTAACATCCGGGGCTGGAAGAAAGGTCTTCTGAAAGGGCGCCTGACAAAAAAAAAAAAAAAAAAAAAAAAAAAAAAAACTAGGCTCTTCTAGCTTAGACAGGTTCCTGGACAACATGTGCTGGAACTGGCAACCACTACCTCAGCATTTACAGTCATCACCTCTCTCCAAACAGGAGGCATCATTGCTGTGGGTTCATTTGATAAGTTGGCTAAAATACACCATTGTCAATTAAAGGTAAAATAACATTTTGTTGAAACCTGGCTAGGTTTGGTACATTCTCTTCAAATAGTTGATGTGTTGAATTTTTGTGACCCCAACATTATTTCCTTTCCATTCTACTTATTTGCCTGTGACAATAACAGAATAGCTACACATTTTCCCTTTTAACATTGTGTTTGGAGAAGGATTCATTGAACATTGAACAGTTGATCTTAAGGCAGTCCCAGCTAAGAAGAAACTAGCCCTTCTCTCAACATAATTTAAACATAATTCAAATAGAAAAGCAATTTGTGTGCAATTACATCTAAATTTATTAGGTGTAGGTGAACCATGCAATCTGATTAACGAGGCTGCTATGACTGTATTATTTTCTTCATGAACTAAATCCCATGAATACAGGAAATATATCCATACACCACTGTTAGCTCAGAGCTCTAGAAGGTGGCTGCTATGTTTTGTGGATAGTCAGCAAACTTTTGGCATGCCTGACTCAATCTATATTAGTAGAGAAATTTGATTCAACACAACTCCAGAAATGCTGCATGATCTGAGAGGAGTAACACTCTTGGCTCTGGCAATGATCATGAACTTTGTTAAAGGCACATGACTTTGAAATAATAGGAACTAGATTCAGAGGAGCATGGATTTTGTCTCACATAACTAGTTTTCTGACCTAGATGAGTTTCGTGGCATCCTTGAGCCTCAATCTCCTTGTGGAAAATATGAAAGAAAAAAGTCACATTTATTTTATTTAAATTGGCTGTGAGGATTAAATGAGGTTATATAATTGCATGGTGCCCACACCAAGTAAATGCTGGACTAATGGTCACTACTTCTATTATCATTATTATTTTTACTCATAATATTTTTAGGATTGTTATCATTATAGATATTAATGGTTGTGTGAAAGGTTCAAAATATTTTTCTATGGAGAGCTTAGGTCGTGGAAATAAAAAGTTGACACATTAGATTCTTTTTCTGCTAGTAACAAAGGGCCTATGAAATGAAAATGTGGAAAAGCTTGAATTTCAAGTGTGATTCACTGAAACCTCTATACCATCACATTCATTAAGTACCTTTTTTTGTTATTGTTAAATCTAATATGCTACACAAGAAAGATAAAAAATTTTAAATACCACCAAATTTTTTGCTTGTATCTAACCAATGCCAAATATTCAAGATAGAAAAAGTCATTTATAAATCAGATATTTTTACCTTCACTTTCAAGAATTCAAATGTCTATCTAACGAGCTGACTTTTTCACTTGTCTTTTGGATACCTGATATTAGCAAACTATTTTGTAATTTGCTTCTTGTGTTGCCGGTAGTGGTGGCCTTGTTGATTATAGGGTATAATTTGAAATTCCCGAATTTTATGAAATGTGGGATTGCTTAGCAATTAGTCTTTCTATAGGAAAAGCCATCTCGGTTAAAAAGCCCTAGGAGACTGCCAGGCCATCTTTATGGAGCCAGAACATCATATGAGAGCATACAGTTGGGTCTCAAGGCCATTAACGAGTTTCAGTCTTGCTGCTAAACAAGGGAAGAGTAAATAGGCTTGTGTTTGCCTCCAAAACTCATGGCTCCTCACAGACAAAAAAGTCAGGTGTTACTTAAACCTTTGCAGGGTTAGAATGGATCCTGCCATTCTGTATTGAAGATTCAGCTTTGATTTTTAATCACACGCCAAAACAAAGACCCACAGATGCATTTGTCAACAAAGGTTTTTACTACAGACAAGTCCTAGTAAAAAGAGAATATTTTTATTTGTATATGGAATGGTTCTAATCACAATAGAGCCTTCATTAAGACACCATTTTGAGTATAGAGTTATGTTTTAATTAATTTTTACCCTTTCTTATGGATTTCCCTCTATTATGAAGCCATCCCTCAAAGGAAATGCCAACAATAAATTAATATCCACACCCTGGTATTTCATTTTAAATATTCACACTTAGGTGAAAGTGTAGCATCCTTTGCCTTTCACAATGCCTAGCACATAGTAGAGGCTAAATAAATAGTAATTAAGAGAAAATGGCATTGTTAGAATGAGAGCAATACTTCCCTATATTTCATTTCTATTCTGCCATTCTTCAGTGAAGTTGGTGTAATTTCTCCTCCAATGGGCCAGATTTGGAACTTTTCACAGTCACAAGTGAAAGAGAGAACAAAATAAGAGAGATTTTTCATTTATAAGATTGCCCTTCTCTTATCTACTGGTCTTGCCTCCCAGATTGTCTGTCTGTCTCTGGAAAGCAAAGTCAATAAAAAAAAAATAATTCGAGTTGGCATATCACAAATGTACACCCTTAAACCATGAAGCAGTAATGCTGCGCAGGAAATATTTTTCTGACCTTTTCAAATTGCATCCAACTGTCTCGGGAATTTCTCAGTGACTAGAGGTAATAAGGTTCAATCCGTTTTACTGGCTGGCTTCAAATTTAGTTCCTCCAAATCTCAAACTTATCTATTCTTGCATCTTGGCCCTGGCATCCATTCAGCACAGAAATCCATGCATCTAATCTTCTTTTTCTCCTTCTCAGGCTTTGCTATAGAATCACCCTGTGCAATCTACAACCACTAACTGTCCCTTCCGAAACAAAATATTAGCATGGGAAGGTTAGTGGGTGTGATTTCTTTTGAGAGCCCTTACTGAATTTAATTAGCTTTTAGATTTCATCTCCATCTGATGTCTCAGTTTTTACCTATATGATTTATGCCTCAATAATCTTCATTAGATAAAACTTTATCAACTTAACTATACCATGGGCACTCTGGAGAATGTTAAAGAGGCAAAAATATGTGAATTTCCTTTGTGTTAAATTGATTTTGGCTTTTCTTCTGTGAGTCCAAATGCGATGGACACACTCCCCGGGTAAGGACGGGAGTCAGCCAAGTGTGTCGTGCTAACAGGCAGCTGGGCGGCCCCATTCTTCAACGTGTTCTCTGAAGGGGAACAGAAAACAGAAGCTGGGGACACATTTCTTGACCTCACGAAAGTGCTGGATGTCAGGAAGCCTTGGCAAGGAGTTAAAAAGCTTGTCTTACTTTTCATATTTAGAGTGCTTTCGTGCTGAATGTGATTCTGGGGAGATGCCCGTGTTTCCTCATTTGTAGGACACCGCATTCCGCACACACTCTGTTCTATGGCTTCCTTTCATCGCCTTTGTTCTGCCTTCTGCAGTGGTGATTACATTCTTGGCCGGAAGTTCCTGTGGTCAGTGGAGCTTGGAGCCTCTTTCCAGAGCCTCTCTGTTCATGGGCAAATAGCTACCAGGAGAAGGAAATCTGTTTGAAGTTGCCCTCCTAAGAGTTTGTATGTGGTCAGACAATAATTGTCAAGTTGGATTGGCATAGATATTTGGCTTTATAAAAGTGAAATCAGCCCTGGCTGGTTTGGCTCAGTGGATAGAGTGTCGGCCTGTGGACTGAAGGGCCCCAGGTTCCATTCTGGTCAAGAGAACATGCCTGGGTTGCGGGCTTGATTTCCAGTGTGGGGCGTGCAGGAAGCAGCCAGTCAATGATTCTCTCTCGTGATTGATGTTTCTATCTCTCTCCCCTCTCTCTTCCTCTCTGAAATCAATAAAAATATATATTTTTAAAAAGTGAGATTATGTCAAACAATGTGATTCAGACAATGAGTTTAGAAGAAAGAGGATGAAAAGCAGATATTTTAAAATTTACAGTAATGTATTTTTTTTCTTCAAAGAAACAGTACATTTGGTCCTCCCTATCCATGGTCCCACATCCATGAATTCAATCAAGTTCAAGTGCAGGAGAAAATGAATCGAGGCCAAGTCTTTAAAGCACTGTCCCACGTGTCTTCTTCAGTGGGACAGCCTCTCTTCTCTCCATCATCAGAGTTGCTTTCAGTACAGTGACTTATTTTATTACTTTGAAAGTTTAATACAGACTAACAGTTTGGGCTGGTGGCTTATATTATCATTAGCATATAAGGTAATATCATTGCCTTAAAATAATAATACAAGTGGCAGGAGATTATATGTTGTCTTTTGTCAGCTAATGATTTACCAGGGTAAAAGGTGGATTGAGGAAAACAGGTATTCAACGGTATTTTGTAGGTAGCACAGTAAAGCCCATTTCCTTTTCCTTTTTCATTGAATTTATTGGAGTGACATTGGTTAATAACATTATATAGGATTACGGTGTACAATTCTATAAGACATCACCTGTATATTGTATTGTGTATTCACCACCCCAAGTCAAATCTCCGTTCTATCACCATTTATCCCCCCTTCACCCTCTCCTACCTCGCCCACCCCCCTTTACCTCTGGTAATCGCCATACTGTTGTCTGTGTCTATGAATTTTGTGGGTTTTTTTTTTTTTGCTTACTCCCTTCACCTTTTCGACCCATTCCAAAATCCCCTTCCCCTCTGACAGCTGTCAGTCTCTATAAATCAAAATATCTAGGAAATTCAATGCCTTCAAATATACAAGTAAAATATTCTTCTTCTTCTATTTGCCTCACATATCAATATTATAAAAGTAAACACTCCTGATTGCCAAAACAGGCTTGATATTGAGGCCTTAGCTCAGTGGAGATATAGATGCATAAGGATTCCTCTTTTACTCTCTGGTGATGCCTGGTTCACTTCAATCTGCTCCTCGGTGTTACTTACTGTGGGTAACTGGGCTTCTTGTGTTGCCACAATGTCACTTGGTATCTGATGCGAGGCCAGCAACCTGATGGGGCCTCATTTGTTCCCAGGCATATCAGAAGACAGAAAATTGACTCAAATCTAAGCAGAGTAGTAGAATCTCAAAAGCTCTGTCACCACCGTTCACTGCAAACATCTCTCTTCCTGGAGCGGGTGTTCTGAAAACCTGGAAGCATCTCACTTATAATAAATATCCCCCCTTAAACATTTCAAACAGATCTACAGGAAAGGCTTCAGATGGAAATAGGATGTCAAGCATATTCTCTCTTTCTCTCTCTCTCTCTCTGTCTCTCTCTCCCCCTCCCTCCCGATCTTCCCCTCCCCCCTCTCTTGAAATGCATGTGATCTCAGTACAGAGTTCTTCCTTTATGTTTGCACAAGGCCCCTTCGAGTCCCACTATCCCCCTATTGGAAATAAACTTAAAACAATATAAACAAATAAAAATAAATCACTCTGAAACTATCTGCCACACACAGTTCACCGTCAACACTTTGCTTTCCATTAGGGCTTTGGGAAGGGACAAGCAGCCTCGGCTTTCCATCTGCAGGTTTAGTAGTGGGCACCTGCCTGTACCTCTGTGATATACTGGCAAACTCCACTTATTGTCAGAGCTGCAGCAGTATTTATATTTTCTTAATTGGAACCCCACTGGTCCCCTGAGGGATTTCTGCCCCTTGACAAGGCAATATATCCATATGGACATAGAGCATAGCCACTGTGGCCTATTGTAATGTTATGGTAAGAAATATCAACGTTGGCATCAAAATTAAAACAATACCTCAGCTAGTGGAGTTTCTAGGCTGGGCTTTTTGATTTTATTAAGAGCTCACCATTTTTCTCAGTGTTTATCTTTGGAGTTAAAGAGATGTCAGCAGAAATTCAAATTAAAGACCCTTCCTTCTTCACGGTGTTTCCTCTTCAGTTCTAATTCTTCATGACATTGCTTCCGGAAGTGAGGGGTGACCGGTAGGAATACCAGCTACCACACATAATGAACAACTAAACAAACACAGAGGTTTGGGAACTCTATATAGAAATGTTATGGTTTTACCATATCTTTTCTTTTCAGCTGAATAAATATAAGATCAACTTTATCAAAATGCCTGGAAAACCTTAATTTTATTAAGACTAAATAAACTAATATGATATTAATAAGTAAATGCTCTTTACCTTCATTCTTCATGTCATTACCTCAGACATCCAAGGGCCACTGCCTTGTCTGTATTTATGGTTACAGTGTGTGCATTTGCTTCTCCCTTATGCTATTTTTATTTTTGTTACTGGAATTCATGAAGACTTAATCATCAGCCCTCTAATTTTCCAGAAAGAAAAATGTTGATTTATTGAGCTGGCTGTAGAAAAAGAAGAAGAAGATGATCAATCTGACATTATAGGTTAATAGTAGGGAACAAAACACATTCATAATTAGAAAAGAAAAGGACTTTCCTTGTTCATTCCAGTTAATAATAAAAAGCCTTTCGCCAAAGTGTCTTAGAAAATAATGCATTCAGACTGAGTCGAATTACCGCCTAGCAGATTCTATTTATCTGTAGCTTAAAAAGCAGCTGCGTTTTTGTAAAAGGCAATGAATGTGGCAGTCCTACTTAAAGGTAGAAGAAAAAGAACACCCCTTGTTTTGTAATAAGGGGATTTTCAATTTAAAAGAGAGAGCGAGCCTGTTGTGTGAAGTACGGTTATTACATTCACTGTATTCTATCTCACCCACCAGGAGGCTAATAATGAAGGGGCCAGGGAAGGAGGCCAGTGCTACGAGGGTTATCTCACAGCCTCAGATGCTGGATAAGTCGAACGAGGCAGAATCGCGTTTGGATGACATTCAGAAAGGCCGGAGTGATTATTTGGAAGAGAAAAGCCTGCCTATTCTTTCCCAAGGTAAACAGTTCATTTCATCTGTCAGCTGCATGTTGCAGTATAAAAATATGTTTATATAAAGATATCTATTAAAGGTTGCATTTTAAAAAATCATTGTAGGTGTGTGAATATCCCCCTGGCCTGCCGGTCCAGCAATGAATTACTAGACAAAGGATGCGCCCGGAACCCCACCACACCTAAAGCCACGCTTTGGAGGATCTGCCAAGCTCACTTTTAATCATGAGAAAGAAATTACCCACATGGAGTCAGCAGAAAATGAGAAAGTAGAGCTCGTGGTGCTCCGAGTAATTCCAGCAAGTGCCAAGGGGCTAGTTGAGGAATGGCTTCATGAGGTGAATATCTTTAGCTTGTACTTAGGGTTTTGGCTAGCGTATAATCATTTTCTCTTTTAGGAACTATGACTTGCTTAAGTGTCATCCCTAACATACGCGTGCTTGGAGCATTTGTCAGGATGTTGACAGATTTCATGTCAGTCTCGTCCTTGTTGTTATGTACTATGACTAATTTTACATTTGCAAATATGCAAAAATCAATCGAGGTGAAGAGGCTCCCCGAGCCAATGCCTGTGAATAGCTGTCTGTATCTGTGTGTCTCGCTGTGAGTGCACCTCTCTGTGTACGTGATGTGTCCTTGTTCTTGTCTTCTCTCTGTTGTGCACGTACGTCGGTTGGGAGGACTGGCCAGCCCATGGGTTCTCAGATGTGGTCCCAGGCTTTCATTTGATTTTTGGACCAGGAAGAAAAGAATGTGTCACATCATGATTAATGGTTAATCTGAATTTTCAATTCGTATGAAAGGCGAAGGGGGAGGAGGAGCTCAGCCCAGTGATGAGACTAACCTTTTCCCTTTGGGAAGAGCATGATTCAAATTAAACATCACTTTCAGTGTGAAATTAGTTTGAAGGCCTCTTTTTTTTGGGGGGGGGGCGGGGGTGCCTGGTTTAACTCCTTGATGGCTTCTCTCACAGAGAGAATCGCTTCCATTCTGCCTCTGTGCCCCAGTCTGTTCCCAGTAGCCCAGAGTTCCCCCTCTTTTATTGTTCTAAAGATCAGGTCCAAGAAACCAATAAAAAATATTGAATGTTTTACTATTTTTAAAGTTTCATTATTCACAAGATTCTTCCCAAACCATGTTATTTCTTAGTGTCCCAAACTAATGTTGCCAGTAAATGAGAGAGAGAGAACAAAGGAAGGAAGGAAGGAAGGAAGGAAGGAAGGAAGGAAGGAAGGCAGAGGAAGGGAGGAAGGGAGGAAGGGAGGAAGGGAGGAAGGGAGGAAGGAAGGAAGGAAGGAAGGAAACTTTATTTTAAGGATAATTTTAAATTTGGCAGGGAGGAAGGAGAGGAAAGCAAGGTGATCTTTCAAAAGACCTTTTGGGTACCCTCTGCTCTATGCTAGTTCCTGTTGGCAGAGTGAGCCACAGAGGAAGAAAAGCAGCCAAAACCCAGTGTTCTCTCAATTCTCTAGTTTCCCACATAACTAAGGCACAGGATTGCCATGCCAACCTGCAGCAACTTTGGCTCCAAGTGAGCATGTTCTGGGACACTTTAAAACTGCCCTTCCGTACAGGACTCAGGCTTATAGAAAGGACCCCTGTCTCTGGAAATGCTAGCCTGTGTGCCCATGTGTGCATGTCCTTGATGCCACAGTTAGGCAATCTCAGGATTTGATGTGCAACTGATTTTCTGGAGTTTGGTAGCTTTGGGGAGAAAGGGAAAATATTGAAAAAGCTAAGAGACAGGGTTATTTTCCCAGTGTATTTTCAAAATAAAAATGTTAGGGCTCTTTAATGTCTTCCCTAAAGGATGGAGAGGTGTGGTGGGGGGTGAGCCATCTGGGGTGGGCTGTAGTAGGGGAGGGGAGGCAGCTGGGAGTGGAGGTAGAGGTGGAGTGGGGGAGGGGGAATATAGAGGCAGAGGAGCAGCTGTGTTTATTTTAATACATATCATTTAACCCTCACCTAAAAACAAATTGGAGAGGTTTGGGAGTGCATTAATCTGGACCCAATTAACATGTCTTTCTCCTTCAAAAGTGCAACCTGAGATTAATGAATATAAACTAGAGTTTCAGAGGCAGTGTTTAAATCATTTGCATGTTTCATGCATGATAATTGAATCTATGTATGCACTTCCTTTCATTTAACTATTTCCAGTCCCCTCCCTGTGATTCACATAAATCAAGATTTCATTATAGTAACCTCTAGGTGGAAATTGCTGGCCTAGACCTTACTCCTAATGAGAAACTCAAGTTCGTGTTTCTTTTATTGGAATCTGCATAATACAATGTGTGTGTTTTTTTTTTTTTTTAGAAAGCAGAGGACAGGGCTCCATAGTCTGGGACACTGTTTCAGGAGCTGGTAATTAGGCACTCCCAGTTTATTTTTGAAAGGCCATAAATACATGGCAACTATGGCATTGGGTCTTCAGTGGTCCTGGAGAACTGGATTTTGGTGTGGCCACTTACAAGTGTATTAATAATTCCACAAGCAATGTCACTTTAATGCAGCATAAAGAATGTCCTTGGGCTCTGGACCTGAGTTATTTAGATCACTGAGGGACTTCATGCACTGTATTGTTTCTGGTAGAGTTAGATATTTCCTTCCATGTACGGGGGTGGGGGATGGTGTCAGCCTCCATGAAGGGCTATAGGTAAGCAATTAGCACTTGTGGTCCCTTATCATGCTGTAGAGTTTTTTTCTCTCTTTTTTTCCTTTCTTCCTTTTTTGTTACTTAAGTGTAGAAGGCTAAATGCTTAGTGCAAGCAGGTGCTGAAGTTTCCCCCCTCCCCACCTGCTCCAAAATGGAAAGGCTGAAAGCTGACTGTGGGCATGTAAGAACATTTCCCGGGGGAAGAAGTTGAAACAAGAGGCTTGAAATAAGTCCCCTGGTTTCAGTTTGTACCAGTGATTTGTCTGTCTTCTGTCTTTCCTCATGTGTTTCCAAGTCCAATGTCAAAGTGATGAGCTTTTCTCCAGGAATTCTCCCCAGTGTCCTTTGTTTTTGGTGAATTCAATGGTTGCGTGTTGCTGAGTGTCTCCTGGTCTTGTTTCCTGGTCCTTGTAGCTAAGAGTGTTGCTGAAGGATGAAATCCTGTTAATTTGTGATGTCACAATTTAAGTGTGCTTCCTGTCACTTATGTGTAGTTTAAAATGTTCCTTAATGTAGCATGAAATGATTGGTTAGCTTGGAAATGGTTGTGAAGTCATGTGAAGAAAATAAGTTTTGCATCCGACCAAGATAAATTCACTCTAGTGCTTTATGGCTTTTTATTCCTATGTGATAGTAATAAAGTCTCATGTAGGGATGGAAGCCATGAAATACATTGTGAAAAATCATCAACTAAGAAGGGGCCATCAGAATAGAAAACGTTAGCCTGTGTGGCTGTGGACATGATGCAGAAATGATTTAGTGTATGGTTTTGCTACATGCTTGGTGTTTCTTTGAGTTTCTTTATCTTCAGATTTTGACAGCTAAGGAATCTGGGTTATAAGAGTTGATTCATCTTTGTAATCATCATTCTACTCACACATTTGGGTTTGCACATTTCTGTTTACCATACATTTTCCCTCCATTTTCTATTAACAACATGCTCTAGGAAAACTATTGATAGCCCACCAGACTGGGAGGCAGCATTCAGTTCTCCTATGCCTTCTTTCTCCTGGTGTGGTCTTTCTTCTGAAACAAAGAAGACATTGTCAAATCAGACTTGCCCTCTTGGAAATGTGGTCCAGATTGCTCTACTCCCAAGCTCCAAAAAAAGGTATACATAGGTTGGACTAACTAAAGACCTCCTCAGGTCTATAAATCTACTCTGAGATGTTTTCCACTTATGGGTATACTGTAGTCTAGAAATACCTGTTGTCAGAGGAAAGAAGAAGGGCTTTGGAGTGGAGTTGGGTTCTAATCTCTCTGCCACTCCAACTTTATGCCCTGGGCAAGTCATTTAAACTCTATGAGTCTATCTTTAAAATGGGGAGAAAAATACAACTTGCAAAATTGTTGTAAGGATTAAGTGAAATAATGCATACAGTGCCTAACAAATTATTTAGCATGTTTAAAAAAAAACACAAACAAAAAAAACCTCATAAAATATTGTTTTTTTTTCCCTTCCTCTCTCTCTCTCTCTCTTCCCTCTCCCATTTCTTTCTCTCTCCTTCTTATGTCCTCTCCTACCTTGAGATGTTAGTCTAACAATGAAGAATGTCTACTTGCAAGTTCTTTCTATATGTGCCTTAAATATCTTAGTTGGGTTAATAGTTTAATTTTTTAATTGAACTGTTTTCATGTTG